GCAAACGAAAGCAAAAGAATATCTAGATAAAAATTAAAAAAATGCAGCATATACATTGTTAAAGGAAAAGTTACAAAGTATTCAACCTAATGCTACAAAACAATCAGTCATAACAAAAATTAATACTCTGCGTGTTGTAGAGAACATAAAAAAGTACAAAATTCGAAAAGAAGTGGATCTGCGTTGGAAGATGTATATATGCCAAGCGGAGTTATGAAAAGTTAACGAACGTACAAGAATGACGTCCGAACCCAATCAACTCCAACCAACACCAATTAATAATAGTAATACATTATTCCCTCCGCCACCAAACTGTGATCCCATCTGGACTCAGTCTACACCAACCAGCCAACCAACAACAATTAATAATAGTAATACAGCTGCTGTGTATTACGGCTCTTATAATCCTTTACAATAATTAATAATATACTGTTATGGATATGCTGTTATGTTTTTCGTTATTTAATGAAAATATATTTTATGTGTTTCTTACCTTCATGTATTTTTGCTGTAGTACTTGGTATATAGATGAGCATGTTTCAGGAATTACTTCGCTCAACGCTTGCGCAGATATTATCGTGGAAAATCTTAAATCGTGATAATTTCGTCCAGTTGCCAAATATCGAAGGGTTGCGGTTAACCGTTCGTGAGCACTTATTGCAGATCTCATAACTGTGTCCTGACGTTTTATTAGTGGAGTAACTATTTCTAACATTTCTACATAGGTATCCTCATCCATTCGTAGATAATCACGCCAATCATTGGGTTCTCCTTTCAATTTTCCCAAAAGTTAATATGTGAAAATGACTGCCTTTTCAAAAGCCATTCCTTAGACCACAGACGACGACGCTTTTTCGACTTTTTGGCACTTTTTAAAACGTAATTGCACGCCACTGCCATAACAGCGAGCTCTTCATCGGACGACATCATAACTTCTTTCGTCGCGCACACCGATTAAAAGTAGGTAGAAAAGTTTGAGCGTCTGTACATAAAGCAAATTCGTGTCGATGCATGCACGTTAATGCACGCGCGTTCATGAATTCAGTCATCAGCGTGCGTCTGTAGCCACCTTAAGAGCCCTGTCGGCATCGCGAATTCAAAAGCACCACCGTCCACACAAATAAAACAACTTCGCATAGCTATTTTGTTTGTGCCATCCACACCCATCGCGAACGTGTTTTAACAGGCTTAAGTTATGTAAAGCGCAATATAATATTCATAGGCAAACAGTATTCGAAAACATTATTCGAATACCGGGATTTAAATACAATGTGGGTATTCGAATATTTGGATGCAGAAGCGGTATTCAGATTCCAGGTCACCGAGTACTGACCAAAAAAGTATACCAAACACCCCCCAAACTATTCGAATAGTATTCTGAATAGGATTCAAAATACCGAGTACTGGAATATGTACTACTCAAGTCTGCGACTAATAAATTACATACCCGGACAATTCTGAGAACAGACGGAAGTAAAAGTAGGTATCAAACAAAGATACTAACATTACTCTCTGCAACCAGAAACAAAACACACACATCACCTGGTGTACGTTTCAATAAACATAATTGTATGCGGATTCACATACTCGAGAATTGTTCAGCTTGTTGTTGCAAAATGATTATTTAAACAGCGAAAAGCGTGCAGGAATTTCTATTTGCTATAGCATCATGCTCTCCGGTTGCGTATGTACACAGCAGCCAACTACCTATCAGTATTCATATTGAAGAGGAATCGTGTGCTTGGATTTTGTAAACGCCGAAAGTGGGTTGGAAATGATCAGAAGCCGACTGTTTGGTCATTATGCATTGAGAAATCATCAAGGGTATTACGATTATCACTGCCACCCGAGTAATATAGCATGTTTAATCAGAGAGGTCACCAACAGAACCTCATGTTTCTAAACCTCAACCAGAGATGAATTAAGAAATGATGCTCCTGCCATATGACGTGCATTTCAGATGTCTTGTGACCCCTGCATTTCATCAGTGGATTGAAAGCATTCAGATTCAACCTGTTAAAAAGAAAATCAACTAGGCCTTTAACTGTGTCTGTTATCAACAATATTATGAATTAGTGCATCAACAGACACGATCAGTGCGCAAGTGAAAACCTCCTACCAACACTGCTCTTTGTTTTACAATGGTTATCGTTCATGGACTGTGCTATATGAGTGGTTGGATGAGTTTTTCGTTTGATAACACTGACTCACAAAATGATAAAAGTGGTTCGTACTTTCCCATGTACCTTTCACGCTGAACACGAACTCTGTAGTCAAAATTGGGGGTCAGTGGACACACATTTTGAAATTTTTGGTCAATGTGCATCTCTTCAAAGGCGTCTTAATTTTAATTGTCTAAATTACTTTAATAATTGTCCATCTTTTCCTAATTTCGACTTCAGATTCGTGTTCGGAGGGAAAAATTTATGGACAAAATATAGTGAGATGCCCAGCACACAGCACTTTTTATTTTTTTGTGGACCTGTGGATCGTTTTTATGTTTCTCTAAGACTTTTCCACCGACCCCCAATTTTGACTTAAGTTTCATGTTGGGCATGAAAAAATACACGGAAAACACAGCACACACCACTTTTTATTTTTTTGTGGACCTGTGGATCGTTTTTATGCGCCTAATCTACATTCTTGATGAAATTAATAATCCAATAATTACTATTAAAACTATTGGGCATTAATTATATTGATCTTATGAATACACTGATTTTAAAAATATTGAATTTGATTCTTATATAATTCCTATAAATGAAATAAAAAACTATAATTTACGATTATTAGACGTCGATAACCGTACTGTTATCCCATACCAATCCCAAATCCGTATGCTAGTTACAGCTGCTGACGTTATTCACTCTTGAACTATCCCTTCTCTTGGTGTAAAAATTGATGCACCAGGCTGTTTAAACCAAATTAGATTTCCTATTAATCGAACAGGATTATTTTATGGACAATGTTTAGAAATTTGTGGAGCTAATCATAGATTTATGCCTATTGTAATTGAGAGAATTTCTCCTAACTATTTTATTAAATGGATTTCTAAAATAATGGAAATTTCATTAGATGGCTGAAAGTAAGACATGAACTTTTAAATCATTAATAGTAAATTTACATCTACTTCTAATGAAAAATTTAGTTAAAGTTATAACATTAGCTTTTCAAGCTAGAATTATTATATTTATTAATAATTTGTATTATCTCAAATAGCTCCTTTAAACTGATTAACTTTCATAATTTTTTTGTTTATATCTTTTTAGTTATTAATATAATATTTTTTTTTCATTCAATTATCCTGTAAAAAAACTCAATGAATAAAAAAAATACATAAAATTTAATTGAAAATGATAATAAATATATTTTCCTCTTTTGATTCTTCAACTAATTTTAGTCTATCTCTTAATTGATTAAGAACCCTACTTAGATTTTTTATTATCCCCCAATATTTTGATTGATTCCTTCATGATTCCATATATTATGAAATATAATTTTTATAACTTTACACAAAGAATTTAAAGTTTTAATTAATGACAGAAAATCCCAAGTTAGAACTTTAATATTCATTTCTCTTTTTTTTCAATAATTTTATTTAATAATTTTTTAGGTTTATTTCCATATATTTTTACAAGGATTAGTCATATAGTATTAACTCTTACCCTTGTCTTACCTTCATGAATAAGTTTTATATTATTTGGATGAACCAAGAATACAACCCATATATTTGCTCAGTTAGCATAAATTTGTCCACCAACTCCCAATTTTGACTTCAGTTTTACGTTCAGCACGTCAGTTCCTATAGCTATAACTTATAGTTAGTATGCCTCTATCACCATGATGTGACAGAAAGTAACACAATGGTGTTAGATTGCAAAAGCAAATGTCAGAAGTCTAGGGGGGGGGGCGCCCCCCGCCCCGCCCCTCTAAATCCGCCAGTGCTTGGCACGCACGTCTCTCATCAATCGCAGCAGCCGTTGCATTGAAGCTTTAGGGCTGCAGTCTGCAGTACTGCTCACATGTCTGGGATGCCGTTAATATTTGATGCTGTTCAGGGGAGGCCTGTTCGAATGATCGAAGTCACTTCATTGAAAAGCCTATCATACGGACTTTCCAGACTTCTCAATTCTAATCCTGCCCATAAAATATGCAGCCGAACTCTATATATGGGGAAATGGCCGACACGACCATCCCTTTATTTAGGCTATCGCTTGTGCTATTATTATATTCATCTACTTTTGATAACAGTTATGCTACTGAAAGCTAAGTGGTTGATGGAATTTGATTCATTATTTTAATGTTGCTATCAAATGTCTGATACAGATTGTATCTTTAAGAATAAACGGAATTATAAACCAGCTTAACCTGTTTATTAGCTGATACAATTTAAAAAGCTCTGCCCTTATTATACACCCTGTGATAAACGTTGTTCCAATTTCGCTACAATTAGAAAGGAGCACATAAACCTGTAACACCTAAACAACCCTGAAACCCTGAAACCAAACAGTATCACACAATAAAAAAGACCACTAAACTAACTGTTCATAACAACTAATTAACAAATCAGATCTCAAGTTCTTGTTAATCCAATGAAAAAAGATCTAGCCTTCACTGCAACAACATAGCATACCTGAATCAGTGAGAACCGTTAATATATTCTGAATTCATAGATACACTTCTTGCCTCTTATGTAATTAAATATGAAATTGTCGCGATTATGTGACAATTAGTATACCTGAGTACGTATTTATTTATCTAAGCCGGTTATGTTGCGTAAAACCTCTCAAGGAAATTCCAGTGAGCTTGAGATGTATAATACTTCAGCATTAGGATCAAGACGTTACGTATTTTATGGTATAGCATTGATTAACGTATTTTATCTGAAGAGAGCCAACCCGCGCCCAAAAAATTATCCGAGATGTAATGAGACACCGTAGCGCCATCTATGAGAGTTTGCCCCAGCTATGTTTCTCCTCTTCACACTACTTAGAAATGTACTTTAAAATGGTGCTGGATAATTTCCTAACTGATATTTTGTTTTTGTTTCAGGGACAATAAAAACTACGCTTCTAGAAGGAAGTAAATTCAATGTCACGTGGCATTTAGGTTATCCCCATAAGGTAAGAATTTTCCCAAAAATCAAATACATATACTGATAAACCTCAGCTTAGAGTCAAGTTCATTCGTGTTGAATTGTAGTATTGAAGAAAAGTATATCATAGTAATTTCTAAACAGTGTAAAAATGGACACGAGAGCAACTCGAGTTATGAGATGAGTTGCAACATATCCCTCACATTTTCCTTTATTCATAGTTTTTGATCTCTCTGATAATCGAACAATTACTGGATCCATCATAAAATTTTCGACAATAAAAATGACCACTTTTCAGGGAGGATTCAAAATTCAACTGCTTGATCAGTTGGAGAGGCCAGTACTAGACTTAACTCCCACGATACAAGGGTCGGAGTTCGTATCAAATGATGCAACGTAAGTATTCTAAACCTAGTATAAAAAAAGTTACTGCAAAAGGCAGTCAAAAGCTAAAAGTAATATTGTCTAATGTGCCTAGTATACTTTTTGCATAAAATATCATTTTTACACTTACGATGTGCTAACATACGTTTCCGTAAGTTTTTTAATACCATGTGTAAAACACGTAAAGGGTGTTTCAATAAGGACGCAATATTTCAAGGTTCTATTAAACATGGTATTTCGTAAAAAACAACTGAAATATTTATTGGATTATGGTGTATACACTATGGAATTATGTATGAAACAACAGATCAGGTAAATGGGTGCCACGGCTCCGCTGGCACATGCGCACTCTTATAATAAAATTTATGGTAACATTTTTGAACACATGTCGTGGTATCTCGTTGATTCAGCGTGTGATTTCAGCTTTCAATGCTTCTGTGGTTGCAGTCCAAAGGTGTTAAATCGCAAGAGCGTGGCGGCCAATTCTGGTCACCAAACCGGGAGATTACTACACCAGTAGCAAACTCGTGCAAAACTGCCAATGTTTCTTAAGCAGTATGGCATGTGGTACCATCCTGCTGAAGTCATATGTCTTTAAGAGTCATGACTTCTAATTGTGACACAAAAAACTGAGTAATCATTGCGCGATAACGTTCGCCATTCACTGTTAGTGGATTACCCGCCTCGTCGTCAAAGAAAAACGGTCCAATGATCTCTCCTGACGATAGTGCACACCAAACAGTGACACGTTTAGGATGCATAGCTTTCTCATGGATTCTCTGTGCCCCAAAAGCGGCAGTTTTGTCTATTGACGAAGCCATCGAGATCAAAATCGCTAAAAATGATTTTGTCTACAAAATCACCATTCACATACTGTTGGCCAAGGATCCAATTGTTAAATTCTCTTCGCTGTGCATGGTCTGTTGGGATCAGTGGCGCTCCCAGGATTTCAGTCTGGGAAGGGTAAAATGGAAAGTAAATTCTCAGTGTGACGTACTGAAGTGTTATAATGATTTAACATTTAAAGCGTGGACATATGCAGACATATGAATTTGTTACAGTAATTTCTGTAGAAAATACGTACAATTTTTTTTAATTCTGAATCATACGAAATCAAAGTGTAAATAAAGCAAACCAAGCTCGAGCAATCTTCATATATTAAAACAAAAATGCAAAATAATATAATCTATCACAGACTTTTCTACATAACAATGTCAGACAATACAACAAAAAATACATCTTCATGAAAAAAATAACGATAACAAATATGTTACGACTTCTATAAAGTATAAAACTGAATGTAAGTCAAAATAAAATGCTTAGTCATGAGAAAAACACAAAACATATTCATTGCATAACTGTATTCTCTTAGCCAGTCTCAAAAAACAAAAGCATATAAACTATGAAACTACAACAGTTCACAGTCTCAAAATAAAACAATCATTACATTAGCTTAGAAAGTGATTTGAGCAGAATTTTAACAGACTTTTATATAATAATAATAATAATAATAATAAAATGACTTTATTAGGCACATTATATACACTACAACATAATGTGACCTCTACGTAGGCGAAGTCTAGCTCTTGGCTACTCTACTTAACCTACCCAAATACTCAATTGAAACACTCAATCAAAAGAAACTTTGATAAGCAAAAGACGCTTCAAAACAACGAGCTTGATAGCTTCCTAGCATACATATATACACATATATATTACGTGAACTAAAATTAAATGTAAGAATTAAAAACTAACTTCTCCAAAATTACTACAATGACAAATAAATCTGTTTCACATGCTTACGAAATCTGTTTACTGGCCAATCCTTTATATTGTCATCTAATTCGTTATAAATCAGGATAGCATTGTAAGTGTATGAACTACGAAATAAAGTTGTTTTATACATAGGGATCTCTAGTCTTTTTTTGTGTCTGAAATCAATGTCTGAATTATTTCGTCTGAAAACAAATTTCTCATAAAGATACAAGGGGGATCTAGAAGATATGATCTTATGTGTAAACACTGCTAGATGGTACTTGCAAGCATTTTCTATACACATCCAACCAAGCTGAAATCTCTTTAAGGAAACATGATCATACTTCTTGAGATTAAATACAAATCGACAACAAGTATTTTGGAGTTTTTGGAGTCTTGCTTTTGTGATAGAATCAAGACAATGATAGAACACAGTGCTACAGTAAAATAAGCTTGGAAATATAATAGCCTCACATAACTTTTTTCTAACTTTAAAATTCAAAATAGAGCGATTGACATAAAAACACTTCAACGTTGCATAACATTTTTTTAAGATAGACGAAACATGCTCCTTAAACCGTAAAGTATAATCAATAATCAACCCTAAATTTTTTGTAGTATTTACGACAGCTAGACGCTCCTTGTCGATTTTTACATCAAGAGAATTCAATACAGTGTTACGTTTGACAGCAGGACAAAAAAGCATCACTGAGCACTTATCCTTATTGAGCTTAAGATTATTACCATTTGAGTATCCTACTATTGCCTCCAAATCATCATTAAGCTCATTGATTGAAGTTTGAAGTATGCAAAGTGTTACTATTAAAGCTTTTATATATCTGTGTATCATCGGCATAGCACATCACAGAAGAGTTTTTCACAGAGCTACCCAAGTCTGTAGTATAAATTAAGTACAACAAGGGCGGGCCCTAAAACTGAACCCTGAGGGACACCTGATGTTATATCAATCGGACTAGATATAGTGTTGTCTATCTCTACTACTTGTTTACGATTTGAAAGATATGTTATAAAAAACATTAGAGGTATGTCTGAAAAACCAAAAAACTTCAATTTAGCACATAAAAGCTCATGATCTATTTTATCGAACGCCTTAGAATAATCTAATGATACAAGTGCTGAAGCATCTCCCTTATCAAGCGAAGCAATGATGTCATCTAAAACCCTTGCTAAAGCTGAAGTTGTACTAAAACCACTGCGGAAACCAGATTGACACTTGGGAAAGAAATCATTATTAGAGAAATAATGATAAACCTGATGTTTAATCAATTTCTCCAATATCTTCGATATAACAGGAATCAAAGTTATAGGTCTTAAGTCTGAGAGACATTTTGGATTTTTACATTTAGGCAAGGGTTTGACAAGAGATAGTTTCCAAGCATCAGGGAAATACCCAGCCTCCAGGCAACAGTTCAATAAATGCGTCAGGGGTAGTAATACTCGAGGCAAGCAAAGCTTCAGCATTGAGACTGTTATACCATCCGAACCTGCTGCATTAGATTTTAGGGACAGAATAATGTCTAGCACATTTTGTGGGGTAGCAAAACTAAATTCAAATCTAGCACTTTCATTAATTTTGGTACAATTAAATTTATCAACTAGATCCTTGCAATTGCCCGAAGACGTGAAAACGGAAGAAAAATAATTGTTTACTTCATCGGCATTCTTCAACTGTGTAGGTAAAGATCTATCTACATTAGTTTTGAGTTTCAATGAATGTACAGCTTTCCAGAGATGCTTGTTACTATTTAGTTGTTCATTGAAGCTTAGATATGCTGCTTTCTCCCGCCTAATAGCGGAAATGACATCATTTCTTAATTTCTGGTAATATTCGAGACTAGCTGGACTTTTTAAAATCTGATATTTTCTAAAGGCTTTATTTCTCTCGGAGATCAAAAATTTTATGCCACCTGTGAGCCATGGAGCATAAGGTTTAGTAATACGTGATGAAATAACAGGAGCATGGACATCAAACAAATCCAAAATATGATTAGAAAAAAACGTAGCTTTATCCTCTAAGTTAGTGATGTAATATATATCGTCCCATGGGATTTTATCCAAATCCACCAAAAACTGATCTTTACAACAGTGTTTAAAATCTCTATATTTGACAGTCTTTTGAAAATTCTTAGGCCGTGTGATGTTGAAGTCACATCTGACTACATTATGATCTGACAAATTCGGAACAGGTACAGAGCTAGTTGAAATTAATGATTCAGCTAAGTTATTTGTTGTACAAATGACATCTATGGAGGTTGCCGTGGTTAAAGTTATCCTAGTTGGTTGGGTGATGTGAGATACCATATCGTAGCACGCAATGCAATCTAGAAAAGAATGGTCAGTAATTTGATCAACGTTTATATCACCCAGCAAGCATATATTATCATACTGAGGAGACACAAATGAGAGAAAGTTGTCTATATGATCAATAAAACTTGATAATCTGCTCGAAGGAGCTCTGTAGATAACACAAACCAAAATTTTTAGATTATTCAACACTATTTCAGCACAAACCTGCTCCATACCATCTGGACATAAAAAATCTTGCAATACCAGCTTACCTCTCAGTGAATCCCTTAAATAAACACCAACTCCTCCTCCACGTCCTACTCGATCAGTATGGAAAAAAGTGTACTCAGGAATATTTACTATATCTGCTGTAAAATCATTATTAATCCATGTTTCGGAGATACCCATAATATCATAGTTATCAGTAGTCAACAAATCTACAAAGGAATCAAAGCCAGCAAACAGAGATCTTACATTCAGGTGTCCAACAACAAAATGGTTATAAGTTTTTGTGCAATTATTCATAAGCAATCTGCATTTTCAAATTATCGATCTTCATTTTGTAATAACTGCAAGAGGTATCACTTGCAACATGCTTTGTTGTTGTTGCTTTGTATCAATCTGCTGGCCAATAAATAAAACCACATATCTTAATTGGATACTTTGGAAAAGATCACCGTGGTGGTTTAAACGTAAGTAAACCCTTAACTACATCTGCTTTTTTATTTATTGGCCAACAGAAGGGAGATGGATTTGAGAGACAACCTTAGGCAAAGTTCAGGTGTTATCATATTACAAAATCAATGCGCCTATTCTTTTTCCTGGCGAACCGATGTATGATTGTATTCACGTCTATTTTAATATCCCTATGCATACACAAAAGCGCTAAACCCACTAATCGCTCTTGTAACATAGTGGAGCGCAGCCAAGTTTTTATCCTCTTTATATGA